AAGGGAGTCCTGAAGAGGAATCCCATAAAGCAGGAAAGGGGCACTACTGTGGTGACCAGCAGACCACTGAAACTTACTTACTTGCCGGCATAGCAGAGGGATAGGACTGATGTGGGGATGAGGAAAGCTGAGCATCCTCCCTCACTGTTCCCAGATCTGATCCCATCCTTGAAAAATTCTTAACATGGCCCACAAGATCCTTTATGGACTGGCCCCTGCCTACCTCTCTACTCTCACCTCTCACTACTCTCCCCTTGATTGTCTAGTCTCTGTGCCATGGGCTTCTTTCAATATCATGAGTGCTTCAAGCTCTACCCCACATTAGGACTATTCTTGATCTGGAACATGGCCCTCTGCCTCCCCCCCACACACACACCCACACGCACACCCACGCACACCCACTCTTTGCCTGGCTAACTTTTTCTCATCTTTTAGTTCTCAGCTTCAGTGTTACTTTCTCAGAAGATCTTGATTCTCCGGTCTAAAATTAGGTTTCTCTTTCTCACTTTCTTCATAGCACTTGTAACTTACGTTACTTTTATCTGCCCACCGTTCCTTCCTTTAGGGAATCACTATTTTAAAGAGTTGTGGCGACACTATTGGTTATCATACCCGCCTCCTCAGCCACTGGGGCGGGCCCGTGACTCACAGGTGGCCAATCACAGTCTTCCCTGACATTGATATGTGGCGGTTGGGACACAGAAGGCCTTTTTTTTGCAGGAGTTGGGAAGATATGAATCTGGAGCTTCCATCACCCATCTTACTCCTCATGCAGAGTTTGACTGGAGAAGGAAGGAGACTGAAGGGATAAGCAAAGTTGAGAAATGGGAAATGCAGTTGAATCCGGAGTCTAGTGGACTTTCCAGCTACATGAGCTAATAAATTCTATTTTTAAAAAATTGAAGCTAGTTTGATTTGGGATTTTTTTTTTAAAGATTTATTTATTTATTTATTTGACAGAGAGAGAGATAGCTAGAGCAGGAACACAAGCAGGGGGAGTGGGAGAGGGAGAGCAGGCTTCGCCGAGCAGGGAGCCCGATGCGGGGCTCGATCCCAGGACCCTGGGATCATGACCTGAGCCGAAGGCAGACGCTTAACGACTGAGCCACCCTGGCACCCCTTGATTTGGGATTTTATCACTTGTCATAACAAGAGTCCTAACTCATGCAGAACTTATCACAATTTTTAACAGGTTTATTGAGATATAATTCACACACCATTCAATTTGTCTATTTAAAACATTTTAAGTTATATATTTGTATAATTATTTATTGTCCCTTTTCCATTAGTTCCATGATAATAAGTATCATAGCTGTTTCGTTCACTATTATATCCCAAGTACCAAGACAGAACCCAGTTCAGAGTAAGTGCTCGATGAATAAGTGAATAAATGCATGAATGAATGAATATCCAACCTATGCTGGGTGCTTAGGATAATGAACCAAATTAGACATAACCTTGTTGCTCTGGAGGTCTAGCAAGAGAGATAGGTCTCTAAATAGGGAAATATTGGTAAGCAACAGAGGAAAGCTCAGGAAATTGTGTAGGACAGACATGGTTTACTATGACCTGCCCAAAATCTGACCTACTCATTAAGGCCTACTTTAAGTGCCTCCCTAAACCCTGCACTAAGAATTAATCTGACTTCATCTATGTTCCTATATAAATTTGCTAGATCTAAACTGACTCCACTACTTCTTAACTGCATAAACTTGAGCAAATTATTTAACCCCTCTGAACTGCATTTTTCAGAGTATTAGACATACCCTATAGTATCGACCTGGAAGGGTTATAGTGAGAATTAAATGAAATAATTAATACACAGCATATCATATAATACCTGGATCAATATATATCACCTATTACCATATTTACTGTACAGTGAGGTTAAGTAGTTAGGAGCACAGGCTATGGAGCCAGACTACTGCTTGGGTTCAAATTCTGACTCTACCTGTTACTAGCTGTGTGACCTTAGCAAGTTACTCAATTTCTCTGTGCCTCAGTTTTCTCATCTGTTTAAAAAAAAAAACAATTTAGAGATAAGAGAAGTATGTCAGAGGGCTCCAGGGGGATTAAATTAACTGAGTAATACTTTAAAACACTTAGAATAGTGCCTGGCACAAGGTAAATACCTAATAAATATTTAACCAACTCACTTTTAACAAATCTTAGTCATAAGGGCTTGGCATGCCAATTATATTTTTTCCAAGTACACCTTTTAAAACTTAGTCTTGTTTAATTCTAAGGGCTTGACATGCTGATTATATATTTTTTTTCCAATACATACATGAAATCATCTTACTCACTTCCAGTGGCATAAGTCTTTCTTTTGGGAAATGCTACTCTCGACTCACACAGTCAATGATTTATAGTTCCCTGAACACACATGATGTTCCTTGCCTTTGCCAGTGTTATTCCCCTGAAATGTCCTTGCTTCTCCTCCTCACTTGGCTGCTCCTGTTTTTGTCTTCAAGACTCAGCTTGGGCATCATGTTCTCTGATCCCCACTGAGTTAGGTGCCTCCTCTGGGCCCCCCCAAGCCCCAGCACATCCCTCTATCACACTGATCACTCGGGGTATCACTGTTTCTGTCCTTCAGACAGGGGCGTGTGATCCTATTTCACAGCTCAGTACCTGGCAGAGAGTAGCACTCAGGAAGTCTTAATTGGACTGAAATAAAATGAAGTAGCCAAATACTTAACATCAATAAAATTTAATCAAAACATTTTTGCAGTGTCTACTCAGTGCCAGGCCATATAAGTAGGCACTGTTGGCACAAAAATAAACGACTCATTTCCTGTCCTCATGGAACTTGAGGGGAGATGGACAAGTAAACAAGCGCACCCAAGTGTGATTGGGACTGTGTCTGCTGTGTGTGAGGCGGGGGCACGAAGAAAAGAGCTCTGGGGGCCAGGAGAGGCTTCAGAGCGTGAGCTGTTTTGAAAAGTGAGTGGAGGTTTACCGGCTGGTTGAGGGTAATGGGGTGGGGAGTAGAAGAGCGCGCTCTAAACAGATGGGGTGTAGCCACTCCAGGGAAAGTGCTGGGAGCCTCCCTGGGGACAGCAGGTTGAAGGCATAAAGTGATACCTAAGGTCACCCAAATGTATGCTTCACCACATGCTCACTGCTCTTTGAACCAGGGGGACAGGTAGAGGCACTTTTTTTTTCCCTGATGGGGAAAGAACAGTAAGATCCAAGATAACCCAACCTCCCTCTTTATTAAACACCTACAGTTTGCTAATTTCTATTCCAGGCCACCCTGGGGAATAAGGGAGGGAAGAAAGAAGTATAAGACACTCCCCCACACACTTACTCATAATACGCATAATACAAATATATACCATACACAACTCACATTTGTATATTATACAGTTTGCCCACCTACAAGCCCAAATATCTATACTTCAGAGACCATCAGAGAAAATAACTTTAAACTCCCTACTCCTCAATATTTACAACACCTAGGTTATGAGACATATTTAGGGAGACTGGCTAAAAGTTAAGCAATATATCCTTTCTTCTGGGGAAGTTTTCTCCGAGGTGATCCTACATTGAATCCCAATACAGAAAAGAAAGGAAAAGAAAAGGAAAAAAAAAAAAAAAAAGAGGGAAGCCTGGGTGGCTCAGTTGGTTAAGTGTCTGCCTTCAGCTCAGGTCATGATCTCAGGGTCCTGGGATCGAGCCCCGCACTGGGCTCCCTGCTCAGTGGGGAGCCTGCTTCTCTCTCTGCCTGCAGCAACCCCCTGCTTGTGCTCTCTCTCACACTGTGTCTCTCTGTGTCAAGTAAATAAATCAAATCTTAAAGAAAGGCAAGGCAAGGCAAGGAGCTGCTCTTTGAAGCAAGTATTGGTCGGAGTTCTGCTGTAGGGCCATTGAGACACATCTGAGGCACCTGGGTCTCAGTGAAGCACAGAGATAAAAGTGCTTTAACCTTGGAAAATGCCAGAGCATCACTTAAACCACACTGTTTCATCCCTTCATACAATTACTTTTGTTGTGAATTGTGTTTTGGTAAAGAAACATCAGTTTACACTGAGGGAAATTCTAAGACATAACGTTGTGGTTGCTGTAAGAACGTTTGCTATTAAGGACATTGTCACATCCAGCATACAGAGTCTGCTTTACAGTTGCACAAGAGAAGTGCTTCTCTGAATAATGGGTTTTTTATTTTAAGGACCATCTCAAGACTGTGTATTTGATTATGTTTCTTGCCTTGCATGGCTGGTAAGGAAGCTCAAAGCCAATATTTTGGTCCAACTCTTACACATGCCTGGGAACTTAAAACATATCCACTTATCTCACCCCGGCTTCCTCTTATTTTCTCTTAACTTTGTTTTCTCTTTATTCCAATTTTCTTATTTTTTTATTGATGTACTATGATGATTTTTTTAAAAGATTTTATTTATTTGGGGGTGCCTGGGTGGCTCAGTCGGTTAAGTGTCTGCCTTCGGCTCAGGTCTGACTGCTCCTACTCCCCCTGCTCGTGTTCTCTCTCTCTCTCTGTCAAATAAATAAAATCTTAAAATTTATTTATTTATTTATTTATTTGACAGAGAGCTAGAGAGAGAGCACAAGTAGCAGAGCGGCAGGCAGAGAGAGAGGGAGAAGCAGGCTCTCTCCGCTGAGCAGGGAGCCCAATGCAGGACTCAATCCCAGGACCCTGGGATCATGACTTGAGCCAAAGGCAGCCGTTTAACTGACTGAGCCACCCAGGCACCCCACTGTGATGATTTTTATAAAACACCTCAAAGCCTTTGTGGAAGGAACTGGTGAAAAAAATTCGTGAATTTAAATTATACTTATTAATTCAATGTAACAAAATATACACACCGTAAATAACAAATTACCTAAAATTCACTAGCACAAAGCTTACATGCACATGGTACAAATATAAAACAATATACACAGAGCCCACATGCACATAATTCACAATCACAACACACCCTTAATGTCACACTCCCATGTAAACATGTACACATATACATATGTTGTGCCCATACCAAGCTGCTCTGCAAGGAGCCGGCCCTTCTCGGCGGGAACAACCCTCTCTTCCTCCATGTCACACTTGTTCCCAACCAGGATAACCTGTGCATTGTCCCAGGAGTAGGTCTTGATCTGAGTAGCCCTAAAGAGAGACAGAGAGAGGACTGTGTTAATGACATCCTGCTATGCTGGAAAGAACCCTGCAAAACTCGAAGACATGGTTTCCCTTCCAGGGGGCTTGCTACACCCAAGTTACATCAATGAACTCAGCTGAGGACAGACGGATGCCTGCCCCAGCTGGCTGTCACAGGTGCTGGCCCATAAGCTCTTCTTGCAAACCTCACCCACCTCCCAGAAGCCTTCCTCTAATACATCTGCCCATCCCTCTCCTCACTGGGCAGAGAGCTCTTTCTAAAACATCCTTTTTTTTTTTCTTTTTAAGATTTTATTTATTTATTTTTTTAAAAGATTTTATTTATTTATTGGACACAGAGAGAGACAGCGAGAGAGGGAACACAAGCAGCGAGAGTGGGAGAGGGAGAAGCAGGCCTCCCGCTGAGCAGGGAGCACAATGCGGGGCTCCATCCCAGGACCCTGGGCTCATGACCTGAGCCAAAGGCAGACACTTAACTGACTGAGCCACCCAGGCATCCCTAAAACATCTATCTGACCACGGTAAGTCCTTTCTTAAAAGGACTCTCCTCTGGCCCCCTGACTAGAGTGTGATGAAGTCTAGATCCCTCAGGTGTTCAAGACCATTCACATCCTGTCTCTGTAGCTTTATCCCACTTCCTCTCACTTCTCTCCCATCCCAAAATGCTCTTCCATGGCTTGTGCCTTTGCCCAAAATGTTCTTCCATGGCATGACTGGGAGTCCCTTCCCCACACTAACTCATCCCCCAGGGCCCAGGGCTGATCTCATAATTCCTTGGGAGAAGCCTTCCCAGGCTTTCTCAGGCCCAGCTAGCCTCTCCCTCCTCCTCTGTGACTTATAAACATTCACTGAGGCCTCAGATGGTGATTATTTGTAGAAACCAAAATGTCAGCAGTGGTTTCCTTCACATAGGATGGTTATGAAACTTTTTAAAAATACTTTTCTGTAGGGGTGTCTGGGTGGCTCAGTTGGTTAGGCAACTGACTCTTGATTTTGGCTCAGGTCATGATCTCGGGTCATGGGATCAAGCCTAGCATCAGACTCCAGCTCAGTGCAGAGTCTGCTTGTCCCTCTCCCTCTGCTCCTCCCACCTCCCTGCTCACTCGCTCTCTCTCTCTCTCTCTCTTTCTCAAGTAAATAAATAAAACCTTAAAAAAAAAATGCTTTTCTTGGGGCACCTGGGTGGCTCAGTCGGTTGAATGTCTGCCTTCGGCTCAGGTCATGATCCCGGGGTCCTGGGATGGAGCCCCACATTGGGCTCCCTGCTCGGCGGGGAGCCTGCTTGTCCCTCTCCCACTCCCCCTGCTTGTGTTCCCTCTCTCGCTGTGTCTCTCTCTGTCAAATAAATAAATAAATAAAATCTTAAAAAAAAATGCTTTTCTGTATTTTTCAAATTTTTGAAAGTGAGCATATGCTACTTATATAATGAGAAACAAAATTTTAATATAATGAATAAAATAGGACCCTTATATTGTGGATACATCTCTTTGTGGGGATGAGCCTAACTCTGTCTCTAACCACCCCATCAAATAGAAATGATTACTTCTCCTTTTGGTCGCCTACACCTTTACCATGGCACCTGCTACATTTGGCTGAATTTATAAGTCTCTCCTTGAAGGCAGGGATAGTCTCATTCACCTTTGGAGTGCCAGTCCCCAGCACAGAGCACAGAAGATGTCAGCAACTGTCTGATGAATGAGTAAGCCAGCTAATGGTTAATGCTGAAGCAGATTTTAAATGTTACCCTATCCTGACACTGACACTCAATCTAACTCAACCCTAACTGCAACCTGGACCTATTACTGACTCTGCTCATAAAGCTGATCCCCCACTAATCTTCTCTTTAAGGGGGAGAAGCCATTCTCTCAAGGTACAGAATTCACTGAGCCACATTTGTTGTGGGCTGACAAAGAGCCAGGTTGTGTGCTGAGCACTGGGACTTAGATGGCTAGTCCAGGACCAAGTTGTTCAGAGGCAAAACTGAAAGGCCAGGGCTTGGGAGAAATAGATATTCAATCTTTAGCCTCAAGGCAGGTAACTGGAGCCAAGTCTCCATGTCTCCCCATACTCCTCTTCCTGTCATCTTCCTCCCTTCTCCCACCCTCATCCACTCTCAGCTCCCAGATTAGCAACTCAGGTTATTCTTGGAGGAATTGTCACCAAGTGTTAAACTCACTGTGTTCCTGAGACAGAATGAACAGCGACTGATGGTGAAAGGGAGGAAGGTCAGGCCAACAGGGAATGAGCAGTGTGAAGACACTTAAAAAAACAGCTAATCACTCCAGGGTAGGAGGTGGAGGGAAAGACGGAAAAGGAGGGGAAGAGGAGGAGGGGAGACAAATCATGACCGTAGAGAAGAGAGGGAATAAAAAGGGGGGAAAGGAAGAGAAAAGGGAAGAGAAAAAAAGGGAGTAAAGAGAAAAGAGAGGAAGGAAAGGAGGAAAAGGAAGATACAGGGTACTTGTTAGAAGAGAAGAAAGAGAAAGGAGGAAGGGGAAGATGCCCGGTAGGCTGGGAAGGACAGACATGTGCATGGCACCCTGGACAGGCTGCAAAGCCACTCTCAGTTCAAGGCTACAAGGCACCCACAGGACTTCACAAATCATGGCAACTGTTCTGTTGGAGAAGGGAAGTCCTCAAAGGGTGGCTATTATGCAAAGGGGAACAGGAGATAAGCTTGGCGCTGGCCAGCGCTGCTGCTATATGCCTGGCCTGCTCAGCCTCTCTGATTCTGAACAAGAGCCATGGCACAGATGTTCCACCTTCTCCCATCCTCATCCTTTCCACTGGGCAAGGGCCCGGCCCTCCCTCTCACTTAACCTTCCTCTCAGCTCCCTTCTCCCGGTGAGTTATGCTCCAGGAAGAAAGATGTAAGTTACTCAGAGGTTGTACATCTGGAGCTGTGCTGATTTCCACTGTATATTGAATCTTTACAAACTTGGACTGGATGTACTCTTGACCCCCAGCCTAGGGATAAACTTTATGGGGGAGTCATATGTGCATTCACTCACTACTGGGACCAGAATGATCTTTCCAAAACATGAATCTGAACCTGTTGGTTCTCTGTTCAAATGTCATCACCTAGGGGATAAACTCCAAACTCCTTACCCCAGCACACAAAATTCTTCATGACCTCTGCTCTCCCTGTACCCTTCACTTACCATCTCACCTTTGCACATCTGCATTCTTTTCCTGGAATATTCTTATTTACTCACCCCCTGGCTAACTCCTGTTCATCTTACAAAATGTAGCATCTGTGTCAGCAACTCCAGGTCCCTTCCCTGACTCCCCAAGCCGGGTCAGAGCCCTCTGTTGGGCACCCAGAGCCCTGGTGCCTCTCCTCATTACTGCACATGTCACATGAAATTCTCACTGCTTGCTTACTGATCTGTGCTTTCCTCTCATCTGTGAGTTCCTTGAGGCCAGGAGCCATGTCTGATTCATCCAGATTGCCCTGGCATAAAGCACAAGGCCTAGCACACATTAGGTTTTTCTAGACAGTTTGATGAATAATGAATGAGTGAGGTGAATGAATGAATGAGGTGAATGAATGAATCTCATACCAATCTTGGACAGCATTGAAGGAATCCTCATTGGTAATGTCATACATCAGAATGAAGCCCATGGCCCCACGGTAATAGGCTGTTGTGATGGTCCGGTACCGCTCTTGTCCAGCTGTGTCCTGGGTAGGAAAAAGAAAGAGTTAGCCTCCTAGAAAATCTACTTTTGTTCCTAAAAAGTCCTCAGAATAATTAACAAATAACCCAAGGTATATTTAAGGAGCACCTATTATGTGTCTTGTATTGTACTTGGTGGGTAGAATGTTTCGTTTGTTTGTTTTTAAAGATTTTATTTATTTATTTGACAGAGAGAGACACAGCGAGAGAGGGAACACAAGCAGGGGGAGTGGGAGAGGGAGAAGCAGTCTTCCCGCTGAGCTGGGAGCCCGATGCAGGGCTTGATCCCAGGACCCTGGGATCATGACCCGAGCCGAAGGCAGACACTTAACGACTGAGCCACCCAGGCGCCCCAATAAAATGGTTTTTAAAACCTCATAAAAATTTGGGCACCTGGGTGGCTCAGTCAGTTAAGTGTGTGCCTTCAGCTTAGGTCATGGTCTCAGGGTCCTGGGATTGAGCCCTGTGGTGGGCTCCCTGCTCAGCAGGGAGGCTGCTTCTCCCTCTCCTTCTGCTCCTACCCCCCCATACTCTCTCTCTCTCAAATAAATAAATAAAAATCTTTAAAAAATAAATAAAACCTCATAAAAATTAATAAGAAAATAATTGAGGAGTGCCTGGCTGGCTCAGTCAGTAGGGCAGGCAACTTTTGATTTCGGGGTCATGAGTTCGAGCCCCATGTTGAGGGCAGAGTTTACTTAAGAAAAAAAAAGAAAGAAAGAAAATAATTGAAATTCCAACAGAAAAAAGGGCAAGCCCCGCATTGGGCTCCCTGCTCAGCGGGGGCCCTGCTTCTCCCTCTCCCACTCTCCCTGCTTGTGTTCCCTCTCTTGCTGTGTCTCTCTCTGTCAAATAAATAAATAAATAAATAAATCTTTTTTTAAAAAAAGATTTTAACTATTCTTAATTATAATTCCCATTATAGATGAGGATGTAGTGAGATGTGCAAACTCACTCCTCGCTCATGGAAACTTGGTTCAGTCTTTCTGAAAATCAATTTGGAAGTCTCAAGACCATTAAAAATATTTGCAAACTGAGGGTTCTAGAGGGGAGAGGGGTGGGAGGATGGGTGAGCCTGGTGATGGGTATTAAAGAGGACACATTCTGCATGGAGCACTGGGTGTTATATGCAAACAATGAATCATGCAACACTACATCAAAAACTAATGATGTAATGTATGGTGATTAACATAATAAAAAAATACAGGAAAAAAAATATTTGCACTCTTAACACAGAAATTTTCTTCCTCAAAACTTTTGCTACAAAATTAGAAAATCAGCCCTATGCACAAAAATATTTGTTGGGACAGGAGACAATGCTTGTACATGTGATATAATAGCAGTTTTGTAACTATATATGCAGAGAAGAAAACATCAAAAGATTAATAGTGATTATCTCTGTATGAGAGTCAAGAATTACAGGGATTTTAAACTTTTTCATGCACTTTTATTTCCTCTACAATAAGCAAATATTGCTCTTACATACGGAGAAACAAATATTTTTTTAAAAATCCTTTAACGATCCTTTTTTTTAAAAAAGATTTTATTGGGCGCCTGGGTGGCTCAGATGGTTGGGCGTCTGCCTTCGGCTCAGGTCATGATCCCAGAGTCCTGGGATCGAGTCCCGCATCGGGCTCTCTGCTCCTTGGGAGCCTGCTTCTCCCTCTGCCTCTCTCTCTCTCTGTTTCTCATGAATAAATAAATTAAAAAAAAAAATCTTAAAAAAGATTTTATTTATTTATTTGTCAGAGAGCACAAGCAGGGGAGCGGCAGGCAGAGGGAGAGGGAGAAGCAGGCTCCCCGCCGAGCAGGGAGACCGATGCGGGACTCGATCCCAGGATCCTGGGATCATGACCTGAGTCGAAGGCAGGTGCTTAACCAACTGAGCCACCCAGGCGTCCCCCAACACAATTCTTTACCTCAAGCAGATCACAGTCCAGTTGGAAAGACAGACATATAAGCAAGCAAGCAAAAACAAGACCAACAGTAAAGTGTTATTGGAGCACATTGGGATGTTTCACGTATGTCCACACAGTCCTTATGTGAGGGACCAGCCAATCTTCTGTTTCATTACAATTTTAGAATGCATGATACTTGAGTATGTATAAAACATCTCTTCATATATTAGCTTACTTAAATTTTATAAAATCCCTGTGAGGTAGGTATTATTAGCATTTACATTTTATAGTTGAGAATGCAAAAATGCAGCCAGGGTAAGTGACTTTCCCAAGGTCATAAAGCTAGTGACAAAAGCTATGCCTTAAATCCAGGGCTTCTGATTCCAAGTCCAATGCACATACCACTAAACCTCAATCAATGAAGGACGTGTGCACAAATACTTCCTGAACACAATCTATAATGATAATAAAAACAAATAAGGGAACAATAATAACTACAGTATGCCATTATTTGTACATATGTTGCACCTGTTATCCACATACTTCAGAAAAACCCTGTAGGATATATATGGCTACTCCATTTTACTCCAGATGAGGAAACTGAGGCTTAGAGAGATTGCCACTAAGTGTCAGAATTGCGATTCAAAATAAAGTCTATCTGACCCCTATACTCATTACAATTTATACCTTAGCCATGAACCATACTTTGTGTGATATAACATAGAACAAACACTATCCTGCCCTCAGGGAGCCTCAGTAAAAGTGCAGAGGTAGCTAAGACATACACCAGTAGACTGATAATAAGAAATATGTGGCAATATGTCATGAGTTCCAGATAATCAGTGTGAAGAAAAAGTGTTACACATGTCAGGTAAGGTAGAAACATGGTGGTTTTGGGTAATTATAGATGTCAAAGCAGAGATAGTGTATCAGGATATGCTGAGTTATTCAATAACAAAGCAATCCCCAAATCTCAGCAGCTTAAACAAGGTTTTATTTTTTACTATTGCTCCATATCCATTAAGCGTTGGCTGGGTGCTCTGCTTTTTGTCTTCCTTATTCTAAGATAAAGACTGACAGAGCAGCTACCAGAGGGAAAAAGTGTGTGAGTCATGTGTTGGCTCTTAAAACTTCCACTTCTCCCATTTCACTAGCCAAAGCAAGTCACACACCCACATCCAAGAAAATGAAATCTTATAATATGCCCAGGAGGAGAATCATAAATGTGGTAGACAGCGTAGCTCCCACTAAAGGAATCTGTACCAAGTCCAGAAGCATTGGCCTGAAGATGTGCTTATTTGACAATAGTAGGAGGACAACAAGGACTTTTCTAAAGAAGAATTTTCCAAACAGAGAAGTGAAGGAAAAGTATTTTGGCAGAAGGAAGAGTTTTTGCCATTGAGTACTCCAAAAGAAAAGGAATGGCAGGAAATGGGAAATGGGTATGTGCTGAAACTAGAAAAAGCTTTAAATGTTGTGCTATGGGGTTTGGACTTTATCTTTTTTTTTTTTAGGCTCCATGCCCAGCACAGAGCCCAATGTGGAGCTCGAACTCATGACCCCAAGATCAAGACCTGAGCTGAGATCAAGAGTCACACTCAACCAACTGAGCCACCCAGACACCTCTGGACTTTATCTTTTAAAATAAAAGATTTTTGAAGCAGGGAATTAATATAATTAGATCTGAACTTTATTTAGAAAGATCACTCTGGCTGTGATGTGGAGAATGGACTGGAAAAAGAGATGGGAAGCAGGAAGGCTAGTTAGAAGATCTTTGCAGTGGTTCAAATGAATCCCAGTAAGGATTGAACTAGAGTGGTAGCAATGAGAATGGAGTAGAAACAGATCCAAGAGATGTTTAAGAGGTGAACTCTAGGGCATGGTGATGGATTAGAGGTGAAGAGATGAGAAATCAAAGATAAGGTATGTTTCTGGCAGGGCTCATTTTCTCCATGTCCTCAGCAATTCAGCTCTGGCCCAGACTTGCACAACCTTACTCAGCAAAACAAAATCTGTACTTACTACACCCACCATCCTTGGGGAGCATATAAATCTCCATCTCCTTTTGTTGAGCATAGTCTTTGGGTGTCTTACTCTTCACCTGAAGCAGCTTTATTCCTTCTAACCACATACAGTACTTCTCCCTAAGAGTTCTGGCAAATAGGGGCACCTGGGTGGCTCAGTCTTTGGGCGTCTGCCTTTGGCTCAGGTCATGATCCCAGGGGCCTGGGATCAAGCCCCGCATTGGGTTCCCTCTCAGTGGGAGGCCTGCTTCTCCCTGTCCCACTCCCCCTGCTTGTGTTCCCTCTCCCGCTATGTCTCTCTCTGTCAAATAAATAAATAAAATCTTAAAAAAAAAAAAAAAAAAGAGTTCTGGCAAATATAATTTTCTCCAGTTCATAAATGAGTGAGCAGATGAATGAATGAATGAGTGAAGAGATGGATGAGTAAGTGAACACGTAACTTAGGCACTACTGAGAGAAATCATCAGTTTGCCCTACCTACGCAGAAGCCTTGTGTGTACCTATGGAACACTTCAGCAGTATTTGATTTACCCCACCCCCATACACTCTTGACTCAGCTTCCTGAGCTCCTCGGAGTCAACACCACAGATGAGACTCTTTCCACCCATCTGTAGGCCAGGCCCCAAATCTTGTCCTGGAGGATTTAGAATTTAGCCAACCATCCAGAGTAGTGATCTAGAGGCCCAGGCAAGATTTCTGAGAAGCTGCACTGCTAGCAGGTCTCAACTCTTCTCACTCCATCTGTGTTGTACCATTTCCCTGTGAGAGTTTCTAGTCCCCCACCTCTGACTGGAGCCTGGCCCTGTGCCACAGCTCTTTGACAGAAGAGTCCTGTCACCCAATTGATATCCAATTAAGCCCCACATTGGGTGTAGAGATTACATTACAATACAATACAATCCTGGTATGGAATAATAAGTGAGCTTGGACATGGAAACAGTTTCATCTCCATGCTCCTAGTGCCTAGCATAGGGCTGTGCATACAGTAGGGATTCAATCACCACTTGCTAAACAAAAAGGCCACATAGTTTTGAGATTGAGAGCATGGTCTATGGAATTAGACTCCTGGGTGGGAATCCCTGT